AACTATGTTGTAAACAACAACAGAATGTTGTTTAAGTCAAACCACTTTGATGGGGGATAAAGCTATTCTGAGAAGGACAGGAAGTGAACTCTGGCAGACGACTCCGTATCTCTGATGTTTCCTGAGAGCAGCTGCTGCTTTTGGACCCCAGAGGATACTCTGTGCTTTTAGGCAGAATATTAGAATATTTGCTGAAATATATATATATATTCCATTCGCAAATGGAATAGACAACAGGTGGAAATTATTTTCATATTTATTTCATTCATTCAGACCTAGGATGTGTTATTTGAGTGTTCCCTTTATTTTTTTGAGCAGTGTTTATATATAAGTATATATATTATGCTATTATGTGGCATAACAGCTTGTCTGGAGGATTAAAGAATCTTCTGGACATATACCGCTCTGATAAGCAGTCCGTCATTTAAAAAAAATCTTTTCATCCCCTTCCTTTTTTCATCCGCAGTGAGAAACACGTCTCGGCTTTGCTCAAGCTCAAGTCAAACATCTCCAGGGAGGACAGGCACAGGGTCAAGGCGACTCTTTCAGACACCCGCGACAAATCCAGCGCCGGCGTCGAGTTTCGTCCTTTTTTCTCTAAAGTAGTAGTCAGATAAACTGCCCTCCTTTCTTCTGCTAGTTATTTAAGTGTTAAGTGGTGGAGAACTGTGACATACAGCAGCTTTGATATGTTTTGTGAATGCTCTTTTCAGTAAGCTTGTGTGGCAGTACGTCACAAATCAGTCAGTTTGTTTCTTCTCGGAGTCACGTCATGAGTTTCTGAGGGCGACAAAAAAAGTGTGTGTCTGCTTGTTTTTGTAAATAAATAAAGCAATATTTTTTTTAATCAAATTTGTGTTAAACATGTTTCTTTTTTTCTTTTTCAAAAACACTTTATTTGTCCAAAAGGGAAATAACATTTTGGTGTAAGTTACATCATCAAAGTCATGTGGTCTTGGATGGTGGCGCTGTAGGCTGGAAAGATCTGCTGTAGCAGTCAGTCTCGCAGTAAATCTAAAGAAGCCTCTGACTGATGACTGATGCTGTTTGACGGTGTGGTGGCTGTCACCACATGCTAACGGCTAAACATCCACCCAGCAGAGACGATGCTTCACAGTAACATGCCTGAGATGAAACCATCAGCTGTTAGGAAGCTCTGCTGATCCACATCATTTGATCTTGCTGCTCCTCTTTAAAACTCTGTCTGGTCAGGAAGCCGTGCAGAGAGACGTTGGAGTAGGGGATTTGATCCATGTCCACAATGACAAATGAAAGAGATGATTTGAACTTTCCTGTTCCTGCTCTGACTTAATCAGGTCTTAAGTCAACAGTCGCATTCTGTTGACTTTCTAATAGCTTGAAGATTCCTATTAAACGTCTCTGGGATTTGGGGGTCACAGTTCAGGTGTTATTTGTGCTTTTGGGATGCTGATTGGATGCACCCAGTTGTAAAAACACACCTTGTTGCCATGGCTACACATCATAATTGTCCAAAAGTAAGAAGAATGAAAGAGAGCAAAAATCCTCCAAAACCATTTGGAATGGTTGAAAAGTGTAACAACTCAACCAACTAAATAATGAACGAAAGTCTCCCAGATGAAAAACACAGATCCTCCACCATGCTTTTATTCCACTAACAGAAACTGGAAATGTTCGATCGAGACACATTTTTTGATTTTTCTTTGGGGATGAACAATTTCTTGTTTTCAAGTGAAAAGTTTTCTTCGACTCATGGAACACGACACGAATAGAATAGTTCAGTTTTAACACTAGAACCCTGATTTTATTGACTTTGACATGATGCATTAATCTCCAAATACATGTTTGAGACACACCAGTCAGACACGCCATCAACGCCACAAACACAAATTTCACCACAAACGTTGCATCAGGACATAAAAGAAAACGCCCCCCTTCATTTGCTCCCATGACCAAAGGCCAACACAACGCCCCGTTGGGAGGAAATGGAAAAAAACATCAATGACTAAGCAACAACAAGTGCAAAAACTCTTAATCACAAATACCATGTGTAAGCAATGACTCACTCACAAACATTGTTGTCAAAAACTCTATAAACCATTTCTTAAGTTAACTGAGGACTCATGCATGCATGTTAACCCAGGCATTTTCAACATTTCCTTAAGCTCTTTTTAAAACTTTTATTTTATTTTACTCAAAGGAATTACAGCACATATGGAGTGGTGCAAAGACTTGTCTTTCCCTTGCTTAAGAGAACGACGGGATCGTAATCACAGACAGCTGTATGTGGAAAGATTTCACACTGCGTCACATGGGAGAGTCGCACTCTGTCTACTTTCTAATATCAAACAGATTATTCTGAAAACCTGAGAACTGGAAGAAAATGACCTCCTGCAGCTTTACCATTTGGCTGTGGGTGTACAGATCCAAAAACAAAACAAACAAATACATTGTGTATTGTTTAAGGAGTAGCATATGGGGTAACAAACCGGGGTTATTCTGTGTGGTATAAGCTGTACCTTTGTATTAAAGGATCTAAAACTGTTCAATAATAGAAATTATATTGTCTATAATGACAAAGAAAACAGCATGGATGCAATAATTATTTTGAAGAAAGATCACACATGATGCTGTTACAAAATGTTTCATTTAGAGAACAGACTCCAGGAGGATGAGTGAAGCACAGATTTGTTTCTGCCTCATCACTCTTTACTTTATTACAGAAAAACCAGCATCTGTTACATTGACACCAGAATATCCTACTTCATTAAAGCGTAAGTAAATCTAGTTAAGTATAAACGTGTTGAAGGTATGCTACTCTGATCGAAGTACAATTTTGGTGGGCGTCCCTCATTTTGATTTCTGAAAGGTGGCGACTCTGTTTTTGCCAGTAGTAACATCCGGCTGTGGATCATGTGAGTCGCATGATGTGAAAAAATGTGTTTCCATTGAAGTTTTGAGACATAAATCTACTTTGATACGAATGAAAAACCACCTCAACCTAGTGCAAAAAACCTTTTGTCCAAAAACTATGAGTTTTTTCAAAATTGCCTTGTTTGCGTCAAGTGAATTCATTTTCACAATTTCAGTTTGTGGAGTTACGTGGCTTCTCATATTTATGAATTATGAGTAAGAAAATATATTATAGAAAAAACTCATGTATTTGTCAATAAAAGTTTTTTCAGTTGTAACATAACAGATGTAGTTACATCTGTTGTTGCCATAATTCTTAAAGACTTAGCACATGAGCAAGTTTACACACTGATTTAAATTTGATTTATTATTGAATGAAAATGCAACAGTAGCAATTGTTTTTTTTTCTACATTTGCAGAACACAGAAAAAAGATCTGCACACATTTGCAGTGGAAACATCTTGTCTTGCCAACATTAAGGACTTCTCTGCTAATCAAACAGCAGAATCAAGATTTAAACTGCAAGCTGCTGGCTCATCGAGCAACAACAACACATCAGACGTCCACGTTTCCCGTTAAAGTGTTGGACAAAAGAAGGTGAAATCTGCTGAACAATTCAGGGAAATCATTAACTCTTTGTAATAGGGTCCTCAGGGGCCACTCACCTCACTGAGGTGTTTCCAGTCAAGAATAACTGATGCCTGCAGGCCGTTTCAGAGGATCTGGGCAGGTCATGAGTGTAGAGAAGGTATTGCAGCAGATTACTGTCAATGTCGTGCTTTCTGTCGCCTTCCTGGTGTAGGAGGATGTGCTCAGGAAAAGAGGGGGGAGCTACATACACAAGAACAAGCTTTTTATGAAGGGACAGCAGGAGGGAAGGAAAAGCTCATTTAGGAGCTAAAGGAAACTCCCTTGTGCCAGTAAGTTGATTCACCGGTTTGATTACACTGGAAACTCCACAGGCTTTACTGGGATCACATGGAAAACCTTCTTACACCTGAATAAAGGCTGAGGCTGGAGTTCAAGATTTGTGTCAGCACACGTCCCTTACCTACTGCCAAGCAGTGGAGGGATAATGATTTGTGGTTTTGCTGCTCAATTATCTCAATACATTGTAAAGCTTGACCTCACCAAGTATTCAAGAGTCAATCATGGGGGTAATATGTTCAGCAGCTGAAGCTCGGCCCAAATCGGTCCCTACAGCAGGACAACTCCATAATAGAACTGCTACAAAAAGAAAAACACAGAAAAAAGATCTGCAATCAGGTCGTTGCAGATGCCCAGTCAAAGTCCAGAACTCATCTTGATTGAATTGCCGTGGTGGGACATCAGAGCAAGTTCTGCAGAGTTAAATCAACGCCATGCCGAGTACATTTGGTCCTTATCAGGATTGGTGTTCATTTCAATCTTTTCAGATATTTCAACAAGAAATAGAGCAATTCCAACATTTGAAAAAGTTACACCTACTCAAAACTATAGTTGAAATAACTTTGTAAAAGTTCAATGAAAGCCAATTCTGAAACAGACTCTGCATGGTGTTAACTCTGCAGAATTTGTTGTGGCCGGTGAGCAGAACCAAACAATCACAAACCTTAAACTGAAGCGTCCATGTAGAAAATTACTTCATGTTCTCCAAGCTACCCAACATTCTTAAAGTTTCAAATTGATTTAAATTAAAATGTCCAACCCTTACAATCTTGTTGAGGAGATCTTTATTATCCTGGCATGCACTTTCCACTGGCTGAATTTATTCAAATTCAGATGTATTTGACTGATCAACACTTCCTCAACCATGTGAGGCATTAAACTACTGAAGTTAAAAGAAAGAAAACACACACAACACGTGTTTCAAAGTAATCAATAGAGCGAGCAAATATGAAATTGTATAGATGAGTTTCTTGTTATGGATGCATATTAGTGACATGAATCTCGTTAGGGATTCATGTCACTAATATCTGTTGCAACGCTGCTTCCAGGAAGTGATGTAGTTTTCATTTGTCTCTGACAGAACATTTCCCAAAGGAAAAGAGTCATGGAGCAAGTCTCCTATAGAGGAAGTGCGCCCTCTGGTGGTCTTCTGATAGCACAGCGAATAAACAACAAATGGGTCATTTTGAATTCATTTTATTGACATTTGATCAGCACAAGAAAATTTCTCCCTGATACTCTGCAAACCTCCCTTAAAACAGCACCTTAATTTCCTAAAACTGAGGAAAATAAAATGAGAAATGTCAAATAAAACATTTACTTTTCAATACAGTACTCTGTCCATGTTTTTATTTAGCAACTGGAAATTACAGTTGATTTATTCCCCATCTTGTTTTGCAGGAGCCTCATCACAGAAGTTTACAAGCAAATTCAGGAAATTCAAGTACCAGGCAGAATAAAAGATTGTTAAAAATATTATATTTCATAAATAAAACTTTATCAATATCAACATACAAATGTAGCATACAAAAGTTATCAAAAACAGTTTAAAAAAAACGAGAAAAAAAAACAAACAAAAACATATGATCAGTAAGGGAAGGAGTTTGCCTGTACCATATTATTGTTAAACTCTTCTGAATATTCTAGAAACTCCTTGGTACCTCAATTCATATGAATCATCACAAACAAAATGTAATGCATGACGAAACCAGGGCTATTTGACAGTAAACTATCAACATCAAAAAGCTTGTTGCTGTTTCTGAAACACATTCTGAAGCAGATCGTGTAAAGAAAAGCACAAAACAGAGCGAGCGGAAAAACTCACTGCAACAAAAGAGACGACAAAACACAGAATGCCGATTCCTAAATGAAGAACCTGGAGTTAAGACAGACCGCTACATATCACACACAAGCTGAAGAATATTGAGTCAGACAAAAACAAAACCAACCCCAAAACACAACCTGAGAATGCATGGCTCAGTTATGATAAAAGTGCAGGAAACAGTCTTTGAAAGTTCGCATTTTTACAGAGGACCTTTTTTTTCTTTGTTGAAAAATTCACACCTGAATGAAAGCGATTTAGAGTAGATGTGGTTTGGTCTTAACGTAATGTGTTTTATCGACACGTTTACAAACTTTACATGTGTCAGGTTTGTGCAGCTGCTTGCAGTTCAGCTGCAGCAGAAACATGTGGCGCCCTGTTCGGGCGCCACTTTTCGTTGCCGCTACACCCACCTCCCCACCCCCCTCTCACCCCTCACTCTCTACTCTCTCAGTCACTACTTCCTCTTCTGAGAGGGGAGATGTGCTACCAGCTCTCCATCTAACGGGTAAATTGAGTTTCCTAAATCTGCTGGGATTTACCCTATCAGAACTGAAGTAAACTCTGTTTAAGCTGGTTTCGAGACCGGATTCACCTGACTACTAACGGCCTACATCCAGATGTCCCACCCTTCTTCCCCTGCGAATTAGCCAGACTGAGCAGCATACAGCCAACAAGTTCCACAGAGCACATCTGTTAACAGTCGCTCCTTCTCTTTTTTGCAACTTGCACTTGTTACTGAATCAGGTTGGTTTTAGTGACTCTGGCGAGTCCCAAGGATGTTGTTTTAAATTTGGGCTAAAGCAACCTATAAAACATTTCCTACTTTTCTTCCCCAGAATCAAACATCACAGCTATTTTACTACCATCAAAGAACTTTGAGGTGACTCGTTAATTGAATGTCCACATCTTTTAGATTTTCTTTATGTTAAATATTTTATTAGTAAGGCATTTTTGCAAGGGTCAGTACAGCTTAATTAAGTAGCAGAAATAATTAAATAAGTAAAATCAATCATCTAGCCTATCTTTCCCTAACGCTGATACTAAGAACTAAAAAGGGAACCTTTTAGAGAGACGGACGGAGTTTGGTCTCGAACCCCAGAACTGGATCGATGATGAAGAAGGTGTTGCAGCAGGTGGAGGAGGTTGACTGATGAAGGCAGGGATCTCTGTTGGTCTGATGAGATTTCATCTCTGCATGGATGGTGAGGTCACACCGGACTTGGGTCTTTATCTTTGCCTTGATCTTCATCTTTGCCTTGGTCTTCATCTTTGTCCTTGGAGTCTGAACCCAGCCGATGAGAGAAGTCCGATTTGAAGCCACATGTTGCGGGGCTGATGGGTTGGTCCCTGTGTGCAGGACAGTCTTCGGCTCTGTGGCCCCGGCTCTTCTTGAGCTGCAGAGTTCTTTGTCCATCTCGGTCTTGACTCGAAGCTGCCTGGAGGATCCAACCAAACATTCCTCTTTTGCTCTCCCCTTATATAGGGTTTATACCCGCTTTCGGTGCATTTTCATTGGCTAACACTGTAGCTGTGCTTTATTGGGTAACTGTTTGGACAGATGAACTCATATCCATCACTGTCTTAGAGACGTTTTGTCCTGATGTCTTGGCTAATGTCTCAGGGTTGCTCAATGTTCCTCCCATGTCTCTGACACGTGTAAGTTGTCCAACAAGCTATCTCCTAATAAGGTCTTGGTCATCTCTGCTTTCCCGTTTTTCCCCATTTGACCCCTAACCTTTCACCTACTATCTACCTCCAACACATCATCAGTGATCTTTAATAGCAGATACATGTTTTACACCATTTCAAGTTCAATGTTAAAATCACATTCATAAACCTTTTAGTTTCTTTAATTTAGCATTCATTTATAATTTTATGATAATCACAACTTATTACTCTTTTCTTATTTGATACCAAAGTTACAGTTACTTGTTTTACTTGTACGTTTTTCCACAAATATCAGTAAGTATTGTTATAAGTAAACCAATATTAATATAAGTACTTTACTTTAAATCTTATCTAATTACTCAAAATGTTTAGATTTTATCCTTTGAAACTTTTATGCTTTTAAACAAGGACTGGTCTCAGCTATTTTTATACAGCTGCAAGCTGGAAACTTACTTCCTCTTTTTCCAGGAAACCCGCTCTTCCTGTCTCATCTCTCTCTCTCTGTCTATGATTTCTTATGATTAGATATATAAAAAAAATAAGTATAATTAAAGCTAAGTTTGCAGGAGACAAAAACAACACACACAACCAGATTTATTTTATTGCAGTCTGGGTCTACTGTTGGATCTAGATGTGATTGGTGTGACTTATTTTATAGGTACCTTTATTTGTTGTTACTGTTAACTAAAATATCCAGCATGGGCAAGTGGGATGATCTCGGATTTTTCTTGACAAACAGGAACGCAAAAATGAGGGTTTAGACTTGGGTTTGGGTGAACTTCCAGGTAAAGCATCCAGAACTTCTGTGATTTGACCTTCTGAAAGACCCTTCCACTTCAGCAGTTTGGGTATGAACTCCATGTCCTCACTGTGAACAGTAAAAGTAAAACCAGGTCAGCAGTGACATACAAACTGGTTTTCCATTACAAATGTGCTCAAAACTTTCTCGATATCCTGCCAATGTTGAAAAAACAATTGAGGTGTTTCTACTGAACTAAAAAAGCGATTAATATCACACGCAAATACGTTTGTTTGTGAGATGAATCATTAAAAATCAGGCAGCGCCGTGATTCTTCTGTCGTCTTCTTCCTTTTGCTTTACATCAGTGGCGACATCCGGTTGTTGATCATGTGACTCGTGTGATGCGAAAGTAGCGTTTCCAAAACTTTTGATCAGTTTTTCCAAATTTGTGCGTTTCCATTAAAAAATTTATTTTCAAAATGTCCAGTTGCACAATTACACGGTCAATGGGAACGCAGCGAGACATCGCCTTTAAAGCTCAAATGATCATCAGTCATGAGTGCCAAGTTTGTCATGAGAGAGGGATTCAGATTTAATGCAGATATTATGCTGTTTGGTAGGAATGGCTGGAAAGACGAGCAGTTCGGCTGTGGAAATTAATCTGGAGGTGAGATGGACTTTCACTCATGTCAATGTGTCAAAGAGCGAGTCTGAGGTTTAACTGTAGGTCAGACGAGTAAAAAAGTAATGAATTTTTGCCTTATAATGAATGGGGGATTTTTTGTGTTGGGGCGGTTTATGAAATTATAAGACATTTCATTTCTCAAATGTAAAACTACAGTCAAATTACATTCAATTGAGCCCAGTTAGTGGCTTACCGCTAGTAAGCCACTAACAGGTAGTCCTTATAAGGCCTTTTCCATGAAATGCTGCTTTGGAGGCTGTGTTTGCCTTCCTCAGCTCTGTTGCAAAACCAGTAAAGTGGTTAGTGGATTCCTTATATACCTGAGTTGATGGTGCTGCTGATTGGGCCAGATTTCCTTCACCTGCTGAGAAGTGCTGCAGAGTGGCATACCAATGTGTGTATGTGTGTGTGCACACACAAATGTCTATTCATGCACCCACATCTGATCTAATGAGCAGATCTGCGCAACACCTCCCACTCTATCTTGCAAGGTTTTACCTGGGAAGATCGCATTTTTCTCCTTTAAGCGAGCTGGTTCCCTCTACTTGGTCTTCTGGTGGGATGAGCACTACAAGGCGCCGGACGTCCCGATGGAGTATGATGCCTGAACCTCCTTCACCAATCCAGAACATTTCTCAGGAGGTTTTGGTGTATTTCCCGAACTATACCCACTTGGAGACACATTCACATAAACATCCCGGACTATGCCCTTGCAATCAGGATTCACAGCAACAACTCTACCCATCTTGAATTGCCCCCTTAGCGCATTTTGGTCGCAGAGCCAGACCACATCACCAATAGCAACATTTCCTTCAGCAGTATGCCACTTGCCACGGACAAACAAGTTGGGACCTGCAAGTTGACTCCAGGACCTCCAAAAGTAGTCAACTTGAGTTTGTATTTCTCTGAGCCTTTTAAAAGGATAAGTGGTATAGTCAAATGTCTTGAAATCTCCACTTTGTGTAGCTCGACCAAGCAACAGGGTGTTTGGAGTGATGTACTGGATTCGATCTTCATGGCTCTGTACTCTAGTATCAATAGGTCTTTCGTTGGCTAGATTGGCAGCTATCTTAACCGTCATAAGAAACTCACTAAAGGTAAAGCCTTTCACTCTGCCAAGACTTTGAAACGCTCTTTTAATGATCTTGACAGCAGCTTCAGCTGCGCCGTTGCGATGTGGTGAATCGGCTGGAAGAATTTTCCATGTCCAGTGAATCCCATTTTTTGCAGCATACTCTTCAAATGAGAATTTGTCTTGCTGACTCAGGTAAGCATACATTTCTTGCAGAATGGGTTTTGCCCCAATAAAGTTTGTACCTGGGTCAGACCACACCTTCTGGGGATGACCTCTGATGGACGTAAACCGCTGGTAGGCAAGTATGAAGCTCTCTGTAGATAGTGTGTTTGCCAGTTCAATATGAATGGCTCTACTTGACATACAGCAGAACAACACACCTCAAACTTTCATGCTTACTCTTTTCTTGACGTCATCTTTCACTTGGTAAGGGCCAAACAAATCAACAGATATGAACTGAAATGGTGCACTTGGACTAGACCTTTCTTCAGGCAGATCCCCCATTATTTGCAGACAGGTTTTCCTCTCACCTTTTTGCACAATACACACTCATCGACAACTTTTCTGGCAATGATTTGTCCTCTGATGACCCATGCTTTCTTCCGCATACATAACAAAGTTCCTGCCACTTCATCATGTCCTTCACTATGTGCTGCTCGAGCTAGAAGGGTGGAGATCCAAGATTGGAAAGGCAACAGAGGAACGGCTCTGTGGTCCTCCTTAAAAGTCTGAACTCTGCCACCACACATCAAGAGCCCGCTTTTTCCATCTTTGTAGACAACCAGTCTATCAGTCGTTGTGGTTGGAAATTGTACACCTTCTTGTGCTGCCAGGCATAGATCTCTGAACACATCTTCTCTTTCGCCGACTGTAATGACACCAGATAAAGGGACCACCTCCCACTTTTCTTTATGTGTGACCTTGACATGCAGGAACTTTTTTGCTGCTCTCCAAATCCATGCAACTACTCCTATTAGCTTCCTCAAACTGCTGAAGTCCTTCACGTCCTCTAGTTGCTGGACTACTGCAGCTGCAGGTGGCCTCCTCGAGATGATCAATTTATGTTGGACTGATTGGATTTTGTTCTTTCTGCTGGCTTCGGGTAAGTACAGCAACAAATGTTTTCTTCTGTATTTTTATAACATTGTCTCTTGCTTGCTCGGCGACATCATTTGCAGATTTCTTTGGCCACTCACTTTCAGGAAGTTGAAGGAAACTTGCACCCAACTGCCACTCTGAGTCTTCGGTTAAGTAAGCAGGACTTGCTCCTCTGGTGATAACATCTGCAATATTTGCTGATCCTGGAATCCACCACCAGTCTTGGACATTAGTGCTGCTCTGGATCTCTCCAACCCGGTTAGCAAAGAAGGTCTGATATCCATAACTCTCTCACTGTATTGCACCCAAGACAGTTTGACTGTCAACGAGATGGAACCACTTCTCAACTTTGATTTGGCAATGTTTCTGGAAATAAGTCTTTAGCCGGGCTGCAAAGACTGCTCCACATATCTCCGCTTTCACAGGGTCACCATTACGGTTAAGAGGAGTGAGCTTGGCCTTAGACTCAACCAACCTCACACTGACACCATCAGTGCATTCCCAATGCAGGTACAACACAGCACCATATGCATTGCTCACTGCCATCAGAAAATGTGATGCCAATTGGACCTGCATATGGGTCTGGTGGTGTCAGGGATCTGATGAATCTGAGTTGGCTCAGGTCAGCATATTCTTCTAGCAGCTTTACGGCATCCTCTCTGAGTTCTTCGGATAGAGCAGCATCCCATGTATCTTTTGCGCAATACATTTGCTTTGCTTCCTGAAAAGCCCTTCGAACCAGAATTGCTCCTTTCTGCTTTGCAGGAGTCACAAGGCCGAGTGGATCATAGAGAGCAGAGACTTGACTTAACAGCTCTCTTCTGGTAAGAGGATTTGGGGTTTGTCCTTTTACCTCTTCTCTTAGCAGGTCCTGACCAAGGCGCATTTTCTTCTTCCTTTTGGAAAAGTTCACTGCAACCATGACATGCAGCTTGCCATCTTCAACCGTGTAGCCCAGACCGAGGGCTTTGTTATCTTTTTTAGTGAGCTGGTTAGGCAAGATCATAGTCTTTATCTCCATGTTACCTTCTCTTGACTCCTGCCTCTCACTTTGACTAGAGTAGACCCAGGGCTTCATGAAAAATCCTCCAGCTTTAAGGATCTGCTCAATGTTGGATGTAAGGAGTTTCAGGTGGTCAAGGTTGTTATGAGATGTCAAGATGTCATCGACATAGACGTCTTCTTCCAGCACACGTTTCTCTTCTATGAATTGTGTGAATGGGGGTAGGCTGGCAGTCTCCCGCATAGCAACTTGTGCTATACAGCCAGCAGGTTTATCTCCGATATTGACCCTTATTATGGCAAAATCTTCTACTTCAGCATCCTCACTGTCACGCCACAAAAACCTGTGCAGATGAACCTCTTTCTCTTCTAACCACACAGAGTTGTAAATTTTTTGGATGTCACCAAGGGCAGCTAAGACACCAGCTCGGAACCTCAGGAGAACGGCTCTGATCGGATTTAAGACATCAGGACCTTTAATCAACATGTCATTCAAACTCAGACCTTTGTACTTCTGGCTGCTTTTCCACACTAGCCTCACTGGATATGGAATGCGGATTTAGTGCAATCAGATGACTTATATACCACACTGGCCCGGTCCAACTTTGTAGAACTTCTTTAGACAGTTTCACTGCAGCTTTGCGATCAACCATTTCATGGACTTGTGAAGCATAGGCCAATCTCCACTCTGGATCCTTTGCCAACTGTTTTTCAGTCCTGAGGAATGTAGTTTCTACTGCTTTCCTATTGTCGGGGAGAGAAGTCAAGTCTTCAGTCCATGGATATTTGGCGTGCCAGTGTGGTTCAGGAGAGTGGTGGTCACCATTCACATATGTCAAGCCACTTCTCACCATCTCCATCTCTTTCTCCTCAGCCAAAGACATTTCCTTCCCTCCGGGTTGGCAATTCCCGCAGCGACATCCTCCACATTTTGGTACGCAGGCTGCTCCGATGCTTTCCCATTCCCACCACTTCAGAAAGTCTTTGCTGGTAGTGGCTGCATTGGATCGGATGAAAGGATGCCTAGGAGACTGACAGGAAACTGAAGATTTGCAGGTGAGTTCATTGTACTTGACTGCTGCAGTCCTCATTGATCTTGCAAAATGTGTCTCTGATGTATGGGCCATTAAGGTAACTTCTTCAAAGAGGTCCGGATGTGTGCCTCCAACCGTCTTGCTGAGTGGTCCATCCCATAGCACCAGGTCCCCGACAGAGCGAACTTTTTGAGGTACAAGTTGACCTTCTTTGTGGCTAATCAGGAGCTGTATCTCTTTAGGTCTTGTAAGGTCTTTTAAGGAGACATCTGGAAAAATCCTCTGTAGCTTTGTGGCAGGGACATGTCTATGAACTTCTGCAATCTTGTCAAGCCCATAGCAGATCAGCTGATGTGATTTGAGAGTCCCTCTTGGAGTATTGACACGTATCTTAAGAAGATAGCGCTTTGTTTCAACAGACAACTGCATCCCTCCAACACCATTGACTACAAGCGTCACATCTTCACTTCTAAGATTCAACTTACTTGCAGCTTTATGTGTAATGTAGTTTGTGTCTGATGCCAGGTCAATGGGGGTTCCAATTCTTGTCCATCATTGGCTGTAACATTAAGAATCATCAGGATAACTGGATACTCATTTAAGTCATCCTCCTCTAGAAGGCCTGTCTTAGTAATAGTGGAGTTGTGTGCCCTTGACACAACATTGCAGAAGGCATCTTTACATTGCTGAGCCAGCTCAGGTGGGAGTTTAGAAAGAAACTCTTCCTGGGCTTCAGTATGTTTTTTGCCCTCCACTTTCTCTGAACCAGATTTAGCTGTTCTTTGGGACTGCGGTCTAGCGAGTAAGCAGAGAAGAAAGTGGTGTTGGTCTTTACACTCTGGGTTCTTGCACAAGTAATCAATTTTCTTACAGTAGTCACCATTATGGAGTTCAAGTCATTTCTTGCAGGCACCGAGCTGCCGTACTATATCCCTCTTATCTGATGGCTTTAGATTGATCCTAAACCTTCTGCAGAAATACAGTTTCTTCCTGGGCTTTGGATTGCCACAAACAATGCAGCCTGATGTATCACTGCTGTGCGTGGTTGGCTTGGTTCTGGAACATTTTAAGAACTTGGATTTCTCTCTGATGGGTTCAACAAGATCTTTCAGTTGATCTAGTTGTTCATATATGGATTCTTGTGATCTAAGAAAGTAATTCTGGTACCTAGTGGTGTCTTTCTCAGTTGCATTATGGGTGAGCCAGTCTTTCTTTAAAGTTTCTGGAAGCTTACTCTCTATGGATTTAGTCACCAGTGGATTCTTTATGGCATCTACATTTCCTAGCTCATTTAAGTCACTAAGAGCCTTCTCCAAAGCTTGGATGAGTTCTATTATTCATCTAGGTTGACCATTTCTCACTGTTGGAATTGCTTGTAATTCTTCAATAATCTCAAGAGCAATGGTAGCTTTGTTCCCAAACCGGTTGTCCAGGACTCTGAAGATCTCATCTGATGAATTGTATGTTAACAGGTGTAAATCCTTAGCCAATTTCTCATCGAGACTATCAAGCAATTGAAACTTCCTTACTTCTTTCGAACCAGATGGTTCACCTTGCTTCTGGAGAGCCTCCCATTCTTCTCCATCTGTAATAGTCTTTACTTCCACCAAACTTTGGTAAAGCTGTGGCTTTCAGTTTTATTGCAGCTATTGGAGGTAGACTGTGGATTAAGGCTTTTTCCTCTGTTTTGTCCTTCTTCCTTGCTGCTTCAATAAAGACAGCCTTCTGGGATACCAGCCTAGGGAGGCACACCTCTAGCTCCCTTACACGGTAGTTGAAATCCTTTCTCGGCAGGTGGGGCCCAATAGTACCAATTTTGGTGTGCTTCCTTTGCCTTCTGGATCAATTCTCCAAATGAGTGAGCATAAACTCATATGCCTCCAGAGTTGTATCTGGCCCGATGGAAGAAACAATCTTGCACACATCCTCTGCAACTTGTAGAGCCAGGGACAGTTCCTTCTCTCCATATGTGGTTCACATTGTCTCTCGGATAAGGAGTTTAGCTTCTTTAAGCTTTTGTTCACATTCTTTCTCCGTCTTCTCTATGTCAGCTTTCAGAAGATTACTCAGCTCCTCAGCTGCAGTTGCTTTGCTCTCAGCCATATAAGCAGCCTCCACATCCTCATTTGACTTTAGTTCAGCCATTTTCCTCCGTTGGAAGACAGATAGCAGATTACAGTCTCTGGTTGAGGAATGGAATTCCCTCTAATTGGGGTGGTTTTTCACTGTCGAGTGTCTTATAATTCATGGTTTCCTACACTTGAAAAGGAGGACTTGAAGACATCAGGAATTCACTCAATCTTTTTTATTTTCACCAATGAGTGAGAACCAATGAACAGAACAGGTGAAAAACCTACAAAACACATACAAAATATTTTGACATACATTTTAGACATTTGGTTCAAAGTTAATAATTTATCTTAATGATTAATTTTTAACCTCAAATTCACAATATTAAATTATTAAATTTCATGTCTGGTTGAATTTGAATCAAACAAATCCACACACTTCAGAATTACAGTTTTTTCCTTTTTCTTAGGACATAAGGTTTTTTACATTAGATATCTTAACATACATTTAGTGGAACCAAACTATAAACTAGCAGTGCAAACTGTTACTTCAATAAATTCTTCATTTCATTTCTCAAATGTAAACTACAGTCAAATTACATTCAATTGAGCCCAGTTAGTGGCTTACCGGTAGTCCTTATAAGTCCTTTTCCATGAAATGCTGCTTTGGAGGCTGTGTTTGCCTTCCTCAGCTCTGTTGCAAAACCAGTAAAGTGGTTAGTGGATTCCTTCCATACCTGAGTTGATGGTGCTGCTGATTGGGCCAGATTTCCTTCACCTGCTGAGAAGTGCTGCAGAGTGGCATACCAATGTGTGTATGTGTGTGCACACACAAATGTCTATTCATGCTCCCACATCTGAACTAATGAGCAGATCTGCGCAACAGAGCCAGTAGAGATACAAATGGCAGTACGGTATTTTGCAAAAAGTGAATTTACCACAGTATGTCCCTTTACAGATGGTTGAATGAAGGACTGGAACTGAAAAGGTTTCAGACAGAGATGACCTCTATGACCTAACAATCACCAAGTGTTTCTGAACTGGGAACTAGAGCTCCAGTAAACTCAAAGATTGTTGGCATTCAATTTTTCTCCTACTGTTTACATATATTGAAAATAAAGAAAAAAAGAGAACATTAATCGAATATTGAACGCTAAACTAGTACAATCAGAAACCGGTTTACCTCTGCTTCCCAATGTCTTCTTGTTTCAATGCAATGGTGAGCTTGACTGAGGAGAGGTCCTTGCAGTTTAACACCTCGTGGATCAGTAGTAGCAGGTGATTCCACTGCTGGACACAGGAGCCTGGTACAAATTGTACACGTGAGGAATATATGATCAGACTGAGACATCGCTGTCTGCAGTGACGTCCTGAAATGGTGGACTCACCAGATCTGAGATGGTGGCGTGAAGCTCATCGGCATCCTCCTTGACTGCTTTACCAACATCAGAACTCCATTGCTTTTTCAGTACAAGCTGACTTTTTAGGAGGAGATGGTTGAGGTAAGAGTCAGCAACAACCTTATAAACCTCATTCATCACCATCTGCGGGGTGGGGTGGGGGGGTGAGGGGGGGCAGGCAGAGGGAGAGAAGCAGTCAGATCTTTACCAAACATTCAGACACAAATCTATTGAAAACTGATTTATTTTTAGTCTAAATGACATCAATAATAAGCAATTAGCAATAATGTACTTTTTTCATCAGGAGGAACTTCACAAAAAGATGGTCTTACCATTTGTTCATCCACAGCATAAGGCAGCTTGGGAAACTGATCCCGCAAGGAGTCAAACAGCTCACAGTGTCTTTCACCAGGCTGGCGGAGTACAAAGCTCCCACTTGGCTTGCTGGGAGATCTGAAGTAATCCTTCAGACAGCTCTACAGGGCAAAAAAATGCGTTTTAAATGTAAAATAGTTACAGAATGTTTTCAGTGCTCCCATTTTGTTTTCATGTAAAATAATGTAGTCACTGCAAACTGGTACCTCAGCAAGTTCGGTTGCAATTTTCTTTATAAGCTCCAGAGTGCGAGCCTCCAACTTTTGAAGTATTTTCTTTGTTTTGTCAACAGAGCCTGCTTTAACGCTTCCTTCAGCCTGGATGTGCTGCCTGAAACCAAGCAAAATAAGTCATCTCAAAATCAGGGCATCCCCCTTTTCTTATACAGACTAATGCACTTTGGCCAATTCATACATTTATTGTTTAATTTTTTCACACTAGATCATTAAAATCACAACAAGCTCGTCATTTTATTAGCCCAGTTAAGATAACTAAACTCATTTGTAATTGCTGAATACCAGAACAATTGTACATCTTTCCAAGAATTCAGATCGGGGCTTTTCCATTTGTGCTTTAGCCACTAATATGGCAGCTTGCTGAGGGTCAAAGTTCATTTGAAAGACCCATTTGTGCCTGAGCTTGAACTTTTCCTCTCTTATGTCTTGAGATGATTTTGTCCACTGCATCAGAAACTCATGTACTTTTTAGTTTTACTTGACGAATATTATTATGAAAGTATCTTTATTCTTACTTGAGTAAACTGTCTGGTTACATTACCAGACTGTGAGTAACTTCTCTAAAAGAAGAACACACAAGTTTCAACCAAAAGTGCAGCAGACACACAGCTACAGTTTAGGTTAAAATGAGAAGTCTTGTTTGAAGTTTTCTTGTTCTGATGTTAGTTTCTATCTGCTAAAGCTGCTGAGATGTTTTGAAGGTCAAAAAACAGCAAAAAAAGAAACAGGAATTCTTATATTTTGTCACTTTACCCTGCCCTACCATGCATATATATCTACTGTATTTAATAAGCTTTATATTGAGTAAAACATATTTGGAAAAGTCTTTATTTTGCCTTAATTAGTAACTCGTGTTCATTTGTCTTTGTTTTTCATTTTACTTTTTAAAAACTTTACACTAAGCTTTATGTTTTATCTGTGTGATGACATCATTTTAAATCATTAATCAGTAACATTTTCTCTTACTTGAGTCACTTTGAGGGTGGGTAGCCTCAAAATGACAATTTTCAACTGAAATAGAGTGACTTAACCATATGAGGTTATGGAGCATAACCTCATTCCAAATTATTAGAGGCAGAGTGTTATATTTGGAATTTTGTAAATAGAAATAATTTTCAGTAGTTTTAGCTGTCACACAACAGGAAAAAAATGTTTAGTTTGACAGTCAAACAGAAAAAAAGAAAACAAATCTTGAAACACCCACCGTAGCTCTTTACATGTTCTCAGAGTCTTCAGGAAGTGTATGCTTTCTGGCTTTCCCCTCCATGCTTCAGCTTTTTTACAGAGTATCTCCTCTTGCTCTGCTTTGTACCTACAACAAAATAAATTATGCAGCATTGACAATTCACTCGATTTCAAATGATAGTAGCGCCATTCTGATTTCAGGATATGGTTTCTGAGGCAAACAGTTTTATTTCTAGATGCCATTAAATTAACAATCTGTTTTATAATTCAAAACATCTCACCTTTCCACAAAACTCTGCAGCTCTTGAAAGCAAACCTTTTTCACCTTATTTCTCAGTAATCTCTTCTGTACTAATTTGGGCATGGCATTAGTACACTGAAGAGAAAGAGAGAAAAAGAAAGACCCAATATTAATTAAGGTTTGATAAGGTTTTATTAATTAATGTAAAATAAATTAGAAAAAGTTCACTGTAGCATGAATAGTTTTACAAGGTACAGTAATCATGCTACCAAAAGACAAGTATTGCAACAGTTAATTACAACTACATACACTTAAATACCCAGGCTTGTCTTACCTGAATAACGTCCACATAAAGCTGAGTGTAGGCCTTCTCACTGTAATCCATCTGTGTTCGATCAGCATCCAGGATTTTTCTCAGGGAATCTCTGACTTCCACCTGCAGACGTACACAATCATGAGACTAAGTGACCAATAGAAGCTTCCACTTCCACTCTGGTGATTATGAGGTTTTGATACAGTGTAAAGATCATTTTGAGTGTGTGTGAGGGCATGTACGTGTGTGTGCAAGTAACATTTCGCTGATTGATTCCTACCTTTACTATCTCCAGCAGTTTGTCCTCTGTTTTTAATTCCCGTTCATCCAGTAGACCAAGCTCGGAGTGATCAAGCTGATCCTTCCTATGAAAGAATCAAAACAACGGGGATGCAACATGTGTATATCTAAAAAAGCTTGGGAAATACATTTACGCAAAAATAAAAAGTGATTCACAAATAATTTATTGAAAGTATCTATACGTTCACATAATCATCGCTATACTGAGTTATTTCACAACTATCAGGTCAGGATCTCATGCAGGCATGTAAACCCGTGTCGAGTCGACACACCTTTTTACATTCACATGCAGTCTCTGAAGGCCTGCGTGATAAACCTGCTATTTAACCTGGGCTGAACCAGGAGAGACAATGGTAAAAAGGAAACCTTACAATTACTTCTGCAAATAGTTTTATTGACAGGCAGGTTTACAAAACCAGCATGATCAAATAAACAAGACATGATGTGTTAGTTCCTAATCTTCAACTATTTCATTTGTTGTCAGATTCAATTTGTCTTTCCCATTCGCCTGATAGCAAACAAATGCTCTAGGGTGGTCCTAGAAAAAGTAGAACATGTTTGGAAACTCTCCTTTAACCACCTTTAACCATGGATTTATTTTCACTGTCGAAAATTTTCTAGTTCTATAGAAAAACTATGAAGATGGACGCCTGGCTGTTCACTGTGTAAAGTCACAGTGGACATTTGAATTAAGCCCCAGTCTGTTATTTCTAAAGTACTACATTGATCTTTAGATCAATGTAGTATTAACATACAGAGGAATATTAATCTCCATGAAGTTGTAACTGTGAAATATTGCCTTTTCGGGACAGTCAGCTATGTGATCCATACTCGGTCGCTTATTTGTGTTCAAAAAATTCCTGGGACAAAAGAAAAAGAACATAAGAAGTGATTCACATTGTTGTCAAAACAAAAAGTGGAAAAACATTAATGCAATATAAGATTTTGAAATATTTTAGAAAGTTTATTTCTCAACAATAGGTAGATTTATTAATTTTTGAAGTTGTTTCCTGATTTTTTTTTCTATTATTATTTACTTGAAACCCTTGTCAACTCAGAAATTGAAGCACAAGGTTTTATATTCCAGATTAAACAAAGACTCTTTGTGCTGGGAGAAATATATTTAGCCTGTGGATAAAAGGAGTGTCAGGATCCCATGTTGTTTTAAGTATTCGTTATTTGCATTTAGATCATTTGTTTGTTTGTCATTAGTCATTCTTTTTTTTTCTGTCTCTGTATGTTATATGTCACCGGGTTAGTTGGTTCTTCTGTATTTAGGTCATTCTTTATCGCTGCTAGATTTGTTTATTCCCTTCCCCGCTCATCTTGAGGCAAAGATTGTTTGACAGTTATTTTTTACAGTGTATGAGCACATGAATACGCACCTCTGTGAGATCCAGTTGGTCAGGATTACACAGCTCTTGGTGGTGGTGATGTTCTGGAGCAGAGCATCAATGTGAGTAAGAATCTGGCAGAGGAAGTCATCTCCAGATGTGACGTGATTATTTTTGATTATTTCGTCTACTGCTTCCAGATGCTGATCCAGATGTTTTCCCAGGTCTGATGGAAGTTCTGGGAAGCTCACTTGCTTGGAACTCTGAGTTCGCTGCTCACTGCCTAAAGTGTCATCAGAACACACTGGACGAAGCTCCTGCGAGAGCTGTCGTGTTGCAGATACAGGGCCTAAAAGTTCAGAAAAAGATTCTTAAAATGTGACAATTATCGTCAGCATAACAGCTCTCTCTCTCATTCTTTTGAATTTGTCTCATTTTAACATCTGAAAATATTTATAGTATTATAAACAACATTTTCTGTGGAATGGTTCTGAGTATATCCCAGTCATTCAAGACTAGCAGGTTTTAACTGTCACTATGTCATGACTGTACGGTATGAAACAGAGAGCATTGAGTTGCAAAAACATATATTTGGGAATTTGTCTGTTTTTTGTGTGTGGTTTTTTTTTCATGAATCCACTGAATCCAAAAATGACATTTTTTTCAATCAGGTCAGGCTTTTATTCTAATTTGATTTGGAGAAATCTGATCTTCTGACTAAAAAAATGTTTGTCAATGTGTGTCAATGTTTTCTTATCACATCAGTCAGATAAAGTAGAATTATTGTTCATCATGCAATAGGAATTTCATCACCACTCAGTGTAACCTGGTTGAATTTATATGTTGTTATAATTACTCAAAATGTTTTTCTTTGGTTATTTGTATGGGTTCCTACCTGACTGAAAATCTCTGTTATTGTTTTAACTGTGTTACTTTAGAACGGAAGCCCCTCCCCTTTTGTTTCTTCCTCTGTGGTATTGTCTTTAAAATGTTTGCGTCCCTTAGACCCTACCCTTTTGTCATGTTGCCCTGTGGGAGAGGTGTGTTCTATTTATTTTGTATCTAAATACATCCAGTTTATTTATAGATTTATTAAGTTAATTTCTGTTATGTACTTTTGTTTATGTAGGGCTTGGAGCGGGCAGCCTGTAACACGGCTATTTCCTATTTGTTATTCTTGTCGGAATAAACCCTTTTAAAGGTGAACCACGGCCTGATCATTTAAAACCAGCACAACGCAGATCGGATCCGGTTACATCAGCATGAATAACAAACCCTCATCTCCTCCTGTTTGCAAATGTACATTAAACAGTGGATGTCAATAGTTTACTCTATTGTTAAGTTTTAACAAAAGTTACGTTTTTTAATTCATTTCAAAACCTTTTCATTACATGTCACATTTATCCTTTGTACTTTCACCTTTTAGCATAACACTTTTGTCCATTAATCAGGGTTTAAATGTGTGTTTTTCTGTGTGTTTTTTTAATATGTTAAAAGTTAGAACTGAGATTCAGCTAAAGAGCAAACAAATCGTTTCGAGGACAAAAAGGTGTGCCTTAAACACTGAGGACATGTTAAAACATGCCCATTCTTTCTGCTCAGTTCTTCGACTCTCTCAGATGATAAGACAGGGGAATATTTTATATATTGTTTGGGTGCATCGAAAACCCAAACAATCACCGACAACTGATCTTTTGATCTCTCGATTCCGATTTTGGCTGATACCACGTTTTTTGACTGAATTGTTGTTCAATGTAGCAAGAAAGTTGTTGAGTTGGTAGGGTCACTGTTGTCATTTGTAAATGTGCAGACATAAATCTGTCAATTAAACCTTTCTCGCCAGAGACGACAGCGGCAGATTCTTACACATTTACGAAGCTAGACAAGACTGGTGGATAAGATCAACTTATGTGAAAATCAACATGTAAAAATCAGTCGATCACAGATCTCCCAAAATTAAGAAAATTGACAACGATAAATCGGCCGGCAGATAAATCGGTGCACCCCTAATTTATTATTATTCATGTATTTTGAACATGATAGAAGTATGAAATCAACAAGGAATGCAAAAGACATATTTGTACCACAATAATCTTAATATATATGTCTACATTTGCGCAGTAAGATCATGTTGACCCAAGTTATTACCAAAGGATTGAAGAAAGTCATAAAATATCAGCTGAGCTTTAGGGCTAATCAGATTCTCTATGAATTAGTTGTTAATCTAAGTTTCTGTAGAGTGCTGCAACAGAAGCTCTGTCATGTTCTGTGATTTTCTGTTCCTTTTGAGTTTCTGTTTTGTCCCTCTTGTCCCGTCTTCCCCCTTGATTGCTCCCAGGAGAGTCTCGTTCCCTCCCGAGTATTTAATGTCACCTGCGCCTCAGCGTCCTGGTTCGGTTCGGTTTAGTTTTGCCAGTGCTGACCCCCAGCTTTCCGCTCAACTGCGCTGCCAGATTGTCGGACTGTTTTTGGGTCGTGCATTGCACCGTCGTTCCGGATGTTTTCATCATTAAATCGTCACTTGATTCATCCTCTGGGTCGCTCAGAGTCTTCCTCACCGCCATTCACCCCCCACTATCTCACAAGATCCTTCCTATCGCCATGTCCGTTTATAGAACAATGATGAAATGCATAGTTTTGAACTGATAAGGCAAAAATATTCTTTTACGTCACGACATGCTAAATAGCGTGGCGCCAGGGAAACAATGCAGATATTATATATTTTGTATTTTCAGGTCGCTTCGATTCAATCACATTACATGACAATTTATTTATTTTTTTAAACTAATATTTAACATTCAATTTGGAAAATAAACACAGTTGAAGCGCGTGTGCCTTTCTTGCTGTTCTTAAATACATTTTTTAGTACAACGAGTCTAACTTGATAGTCAACAGTAGCTTTTCACGGTGTTATGAAAAGGCGTCGTTAGAAATGATACCAGCTCTCACTCACCGTCATAGTCGTTGTTCTCCATTAAAGGCTTGGTGCTGTTCATTCTTGCCACCTTTTTCTTGCTCCAAAGCTTCTTCATGTTTTTCGTCCCTTTTTGTCCGTCCCGGGATGACTTCCTGTGAGCTCGTGCGCCGGTGGTTGTGACGCGGCTCCTCTGGGAGCCTTTATTTATAAGCCCTTGGTGAGCGGAGTGACGTTCTGCTGCACACTTCCACTTTCGCTTTCTGCTTCTGTGAAACTGCTGCAGAGTGGTAGTGCTTTCCTATCGCCTACTTTCCCTACTTTGTTTGGCTGATGAAATAGTTTCACTGCAACTGTTTTGTTTCAGCGTAAATTCGTTATTTGGGCCCAAAAGGCCCGCAGTTTACTGAAGTTCGGCGCCAGCGCGTTATATTTTGTCTACAACAGTCTTGCAAATGTGGTGGGACCGCTGTGGTTCAATAGAACTATTTTAAGACAAAATTGTAATAATTTATCCCCAAAAAGTTTTCAAGGCACACAGGCCGCTACATATGAGGCTTGAGACAATCTCACTAATTTCAATAATTTTATTTATCCTCCTGAGACCCAGAGAAAAAAATGTTTTTGAATTTTTTTTTTTTACACTACATGACTCTTAGGAGTGAAAAAACATCACTACAATTAAAAAAATGTCAAAACATGTTTTTATTTATTTTTTAGAGTATGTCCTTTGGAGAGGACATCGGGACTCTCTTGTGGCAAATATGAACACATTTCGAGGCATACATTGACCTCTGAACTCTGACAATCTTTAGTGCTGTAAATTTCAAAGAGCTACATCATTTAAGCCAGTGGTTCAGATTTCCAGGCACCTCATTCAACTTATCAAAAGCAAGCTGATTAGTGTAGTTTAATCAGGTGTTAGTTCTGTTTTGGTTTGTGGTAGTCCATAAAGCAGTTCTTCTTCTTTGAGATGCAGGGGTACATGTTGCTTTTGATGCACTTTTGTAGGTTTTTCCAGTGCACCCTTCTGCTCTGCACCTGGAAGTATTCGGATTGTCCATCATCTTTGGCAAATGGACAGCTCCATACTTTCTCACTTCCTGATCTGGCTGGGGCCTCCTTCTCTTCTGTGATGGAACATACTCCTCATCATTCGACGCATCAGATTCAATTGGATTGGGTTGGCCTGAGTGCCCCTGGGCAATCAGTTCCTCACCTAAGAGCAGTTTGAAGTCATGGTATTAGAGAGTTTTCTTCAAAGGTTGTGCCAAAGCTTGGCTGTCTTCCTTATACTGTAACCAGGAGTTGGTGATGGCCAGATCGAAGAAGTGTAGGATTGTGCATACAGTCTACAGGCAGGAATCCTAAGAGACAGACAAATACGTTAAATAATTATGTCCTCTAAAAGTGATAGTTCATCCAAAAAATACTCTAATCTGTCTAAGCTTATCTACTCTGGTCTCAGAAACCTACGTGTTAGTTTTGGTCCAAAGTGGGCGACGGGCCCTTGCATCCTCAACTTCACTCTCCTCTTCCTCACTTGATGCCTCATCCTCTGAACTCCCTACCTCAAAATCACCGTCATTCTGTCCTTCTTGGTCCTCCTCATCTGACAAATCTATGTCTGAGTCTCCATCAGTATTCCTGTTTAGGATTTTCTCTGCCTCAGTCAGTGAGCTGACTTCTATTAAAACAGGTTAAAAATAAAAAGCAAATCCTGATGTCCTCTATGGAGGACACACACATAAACAGGTTATGTTTTATGCCAACAAATAATTAAACTGCTCTGAAAATTCACCTAACTATTCCTTAGATGTTTATTTACTAGAAGCAATCTGAATATTAAACTCACAAATCTCATAATTAGAAAATAATATACTTACCTTTCTTCTTTTGATAAAATGTGCTCACAGGGATGGCAGGCAATTTGAAGAATCAGGAAAAAAATTTCTGAAAGCCCCACCCCCGCACATGTCATATCATTGGAGGGCCCAGGATGTCCTCTCTAAGGACCAAAGGATTTAACACAGTGGCATGTATGGTTTCAGAATTATGAACAAAAAACCTATGTACTCCACAGAGGACAAAAATGCATTGCTGGGTCTCAGGAGGTTATTACATCAGTTCATGCTAATCAATAAAATACACCAAGTTAAAACCACTCACATTAAATAAATAACAGTGACGGCTCAAGTCAAGGGTAGCAGTGCAGTTCAGGGTAGTGACCTAAATAAAAGAAACACAGCAAACAAAACAGCAAAACTAAAGAAAATTGTGCAGCAAATCAAAAGAGCACCACCACCCGGAAAGTCCACCAACACCACGAACTGGCCTTTCCTGTCAAGATAAAAAAAAAAAAAAAAAAAAAAAAACATTCAAATTACATGAGTCATTTCATAATTGTCGTTCAGTCAATCAGCAGCAATTGTCAATTAAGAATCCGTCCTGGGATGCCACGCCACAGACGCCACTCAAGAGCGGCAGCAGAGTCCGTCCAAGCTGGTCGCCAGTCCGAACCAGCCAAGCTGGACAAAGGGCAGGAGTCAGGTTCACGCTGACCACGACGGCTGGCAGAGAGCCAGCAACCAGAGCGACAAATGGACTGCCGACGGACAACCAAAATAACAGCGGACCATCAACCAGGAACCACAGGGCAACAGGCAAACAGCCGGCCAAGGACAAACAGCAGTGTCCTGTTGTCCTTGGTTGCTGGACAAACATAAGTGTCAAACATCAAATCTAAAAGCATGCAGGTAATGAGCTTTTCACTTACCACAAGCTCTGTGTAGTGCCTCTGGCTGGGAGGAGGATCAGGCAATTTACACAGGCCACCTAGGTGTACAGTTAAAGTTAAGCGAAGGCTAGGCTAACAAACAGCAAGTATAGGGAGGCCTCTTACCAGAAGAAGGAGCGATCAGCATGTATCAGTCAAGCACACCTTAGTGTCCGACTGGCGCCGCACAGCAACAGAGGTCTAAACCGGAAACACATGTTGACCAGGTGAGGGAGGGCCGCTTATATACAAACAGCGCCACCACCAATTAAATGCCAGCACTTGTGTGGTGCGTTCAAAACCTCCAGGGCATACTGCCACATATACAAAGTATGAATACTGTGCAGCTTCAGCTCTATGAAAACATCTGGACAGATAGTGATGTTGAAATGTGCTTCTGAGTTTCCTATTGGTGCTGAACGTAAAGGAGATTCCACAGTTTTAATGAGTCTAGGTTGAATTTGATCATCTTCAGTTAGATACGTATCTTTAAAAATCAGGTGGATCAATAATAAACTAGATCATTCTAATTAGATTTGTAAAAATAGTTCAATGTTTTTACAACAATTTACTATTTAATCTTTAGAAAAGCAGTAAAATCACCATAAGTTGACCAGTCAACCTGGACTGATTCCTTAAATCTATGATCAGGGTCATTCTGGAAATGTATCCCTGTTTTTATTTGCTCAGTCTGCAGGTTGAATAAAATCACTCCCCTTTGCAGTGCCTGTGTTTACTTTGCATCGAGGCTCAACCCAAAATCTCTGCTCTATTTGAGCATGACAGAGACCAACAACCTCAACGGAAAAAAGATGAAGTGAAAATACAAAGTCAAGCTTTGTTGTCTTTGTTGTCTCAGAGTGAAGAACCTTTTTCACAAACTCATACTCATGTAAATGCTTCCTGAAAATCATCTGGAGGCTGATGTTTCTATTAGCCATTAGAGCAACTGTCTGATGTAATAGAAACGAAACGGGGGCTGGGACAGATCCTGACTGCAAAGTGAAAGTACAAACGTTTTGCATAAGAAATAAATTGATAATCGCTGTGGTTACAGTAAAAAAAAACAGCTACACAAGGAAAGGTTTTAATGGATTTACATGAAATGATAAACTGTTTCTTCCATTTGCATTTGCAAGGTGGGGCATACAGTTTAAACAGATGTTATCTTTAATTAGATATGAATATTTGAAATAAGGTGGATCGGATTTTAAATATACATATCTTAAGAACAGTTTGACAGACTGTTCTTAAGTCTGTCAACCTTAAAAACTCTGGTACTTAAGTCAAAAGCAGAATAAAAGGACAGGATAAAACATAAACATGTCCTAGTCAAAACATTACAGAGAAGTGACAGAAAGTTTTAATGTAATCCCTCTGTACACTTTCTTTGTTATTACAAACTAAAATGTGAATTTGAAAACAACATGTTGAATCCTTCTGTACGTTCATTTCCAGCCCTGTGACAAAATATTTGCCTCTGTATAATTTTCTCCTGTTTTTGATTTTTTTTTTCCGCTGCGGCACTTAAAGCTGTGGTATGTGACTTTCTTTTTTTTTTAAAGTTAACAAGTTTGCTGTAACTGTCACCATGTCATGACTGTACGGTATGAAACAGAGAGCACTGAGTTGCAAACATATTTTGGAATTTGTCTGTTTTTTTTGTGTTTTTTTTTTTTCATGAATCCACTGAATCCAAAAATGATATCATTTTTTTCAATTCAGTCAGGTTTTTTATTCTAATTTGATTTGGAGAAATCTGATCTTCTGACTAAACTGATAACATTTTTGTGACTCTATCAGTTCATATCTGTTCATATTTCCCATCCCAAAAGATTTTCAGGAGGAAAAAAAAGTTTTCTGACGGAGTACATTAATTAAAATGTTACAAACCTAGATTTCCATAAATTGAACAATAACACAATAAGGTAAGTACATGTGACAGAACATGTTGTCTCATTTGATAAAATTCTCTGTCCTTTTTTGTCCTGGCGGACACTGTCAGTTGTTTGCCTGAAAACATGAAAACAATATGTCCACAAATCATACCCACCCACCCACCCACACACACACACACACACACCCCACCCACCCACCCACACACACACACACACACAGACACACACACACCACACACACACACACACACACACACACACACACACACACACACACACACACACACCCCATCAGTAAAAAAATCTGCTCTAATCTGGCTCAAAGTGTTCTCACCCTCCTTAAAGCCAATCAGATTTTTTCATGGTCTCTCTGAGCCAATCATTAGTTTGCCAACAAGTTCAACACTGCAGTGTTTCTTCTTCTTCCCTCCTGTTTCATTTCACTAACTGTCCTCCACACATTTCAGGTGTTTTCCCAAAGATAAGCTCCAGCTTACTCCATGCATCTCCTTTGATGTTAGCTCATAAAACGGAAAGATCACATTTTTACCTTATTGCGAAAAAACTTGCCCCATGGAATAAAATAGCACGTTGTTTATCTCTTTTTTTCAACCCTCTCCCTGGGTCAGGACAAGCTTGCAGTGAATCAAAGGTTACATGCAACATTTATGATCTCTTTGGAGATCACCCTGCCAGGTGAGCTTTCAAGAGGAAGATTAATGAGGGATATTCCGGTACTGCTTGTGGGAGGGAGGACGAGTCCCTCCAATTTCACCAGAGTGAGGCGATAACCGGTTTTACAGCCTCGACTGCTTGAAGTAAACGTTGGTGAAGCCTGAAAAGAGTTTTTCCTTCCGGTATTTAATAGATATAACACTAACAACGTCTATTGAGCATGCTCAAATCGTGGCAGCCGCTGGAAGCTGCTGCAGCTCAGTGGAGTTTAGTGGCAGGTGTCATCGAAGCTGTGGCAGCTGCCACAAAAGCCAAAACCTGACTCTGCTGAGCTGTGTCTGCTTCTGGCAGCTGCCACCGGTTCTAATCCTGGCCTGTAGTTCATATGTTCTCCCTGTGGCTCTCTGCAGTGATTTAGGCTTCCTCTTACTATTACTAAAAACGTGATCATAAAGTTCATTGGTTTCTCTAAATAATTCTTGTATGTGTGTGTGTCTGTGTGTGATTGTTGTAGCTGTTTAGAAATCCCTTCAACTCCAAATACAGCTAGATTTTTTTTTATAAATGCCTAAATCATAACAGTAAATTGCATTTATTGTCACAATGTTGGAAAATATGTTTGAGCTTGCATATTTAGTATTGATTTTATATGGATTTTTGAAACATATTCAAACATGTTTTGAATAAACGCTGACACAATACATGTCAGCGTATTGTGTTGTATAAGTATCACAATGTATTGTAAAATATAAGTACAGTAGATATCGCATAACACATAATATATCTTACATGGTATACGTAACTGTCTTTTGAGACGTAGAAAAGAGTCACAATTTACAAAACCTCTATTTACAGTTGCAGCAAAGCCTGTCACAACAAGCGATTAATTGCATTCATAAAATAAAATAAGCTCAATTACCATTCATATGATTAATATTTTTGAAGGCCAATTTAATTTACAGATTTCACAATCCATTGTGTTTATAGTTTTGGTTGTGCGTGGTTTCTGTTGCTATTTTATTTATTGTTTTTTGGTTTTGTGTTTTATTTTGGAGTGTTGTGTACTTAGTTTATTAGTCTTTGATGGAACTAACTTGTACTTTATGCACTTATTATATTACTTGAAAATAGCCTCAAAATAATATTTTCTGTAACAATTCATCATCTAGTAAAATTTGTCATTGTGTATGAACATGGCATGAAAGTAAATTAGTTTTGTCTTCTTCCCACTACTTTTATTGCTAAATGTGTTTTTGTATAAATAGTGTCACATAAAAATGAACAGGATGACTTAAGAGAAGTTTTGTCCATCCTAAAATAATAATTATTTATTGCTAGTTTTTTGTGTTTGTTTTTCTTGCTCGGGATAAGACTTGCATTTTATACTTTTTATATGTCTCCAAATAAATCAAGCAATACACTTATGCACCCCTAATATAACATTTAAAAATCCTAACTTGTCAAATTATTCAATCCCAGAAAAGAAAGCTTCAAATAAATCCTTTGAAGTCCAGAAATAATGTTTTTCATTCCAATGATAAACACAAGATTTGACGACAAATTGCAAACAAAGCATTGCTTGGGAAACGCATGGAGGGAAATCTCATATTTATTGTGGAAGTGAATGAATAGGCAGATCACAGAAAGCTAAAGGTGTGTTGAGCACATGGACAGGATTTAATAAGGGTGAAAATAAAAATCACCAAAAAAAGTCACCAAATTCATTTTTCATAGCAAAACATGCAACATTATTGTATCCTCTAATGACAGCTCACTTACAAGTTAATGCAGATGACTTATAAAAAATATAATACACAAGCATTTTAGAGTTAAGTTTATGAACAGTTTTGCTACAGCATTAACACTGTGGTGAACTGAGGGAGCTGCTGCCCCCTGGTGGACAGGAATGAAACATGACGCTGAGCCTCATTAACCTAACTTCTGCCGTTCCTCCTTCTCCCAAACGTCCTTTAGGACTTCTTATACTCAATTCTCTCCACCTTAACGTCGTCTCCGATCAGCTGATAAACATACGTCACCACTGTAGACGCTTGGATGTCCATTAGTACAAAGGAGGGGATAATGTTTCTGGAACAAAGAGCACAAAATATACAATGTGACAAGAGAATAAAGGATTAAGAAAGAACTGAAGAAAAAAGAAAACAGGTAAATACAAGGTTTCCTATTGTTTTCCATTCAAAAGTTCCAGACTTTTCCAGAATCAAATTTTCCAATATCACAATTTTCTAGATCTAAATATTTAAAGTGGCAGTATTACCGGTATGTGTTTTTCAGGCACAGAGTACAATGTTATAGCACTAAAGTTACCTTCAGTTGTTAAAAATAAAAGTCCCATATATTTTATTATTTTGTAATCTAATGCCTTGAAATTGAGTCTGTCTCTTTAAAGCTCCACTTTCAGGTCCTCTATTAACCCTTTAACAGCGTTTTTACCAGCATTGCTCTGAGAAGCTCCTATAATGAGTTTAGCTCAGTTCCACCAGGTTTTTGCTAACTGCTGCTGGCTAGTCTGAAGGAAGGAAGCTGCAGCTCCAAAGAGGAACTGCACCTTGAAGGTGGGGCTATGTCCAGCTACCTTTCCAGTGCGTTGTAGGCCCCGGTAGCAGAGCCGGGGTTGATGTAAAACTTGTTTTCGTTCTCGAAAGCCTCGAACTTGTGTGTGTGTCCTGAGATAAGGATGTCGACATCCAGCTGTCTCTGGAGCAGCGCCAGGCTGGCCATGTCGCCCCAAGGGATGACCTGGTGGCCGTGGATGAGGCCGATCTTGAACTGCCCACTGTCACCACCTTCTGCTCTGGGGTAGTTAGGTTCTGAGAGGAGGGCAGAAGGAGTTTTGGTTTTAGTGAATGCATTAGCTGGAGTGATCTGCTTTAACCAGAGAGAAAACCCTGAATCTAGAGTGAAGAGCTCCTGGTATTTAGTGGATTGGTACACTTCCTGGCAAAAGAATCCCTACCCTTTTTAGCATTTTGGCTCTTTAACAAAAACTCTCACTATGTTTTATTGTAATGTTGTAAGACAGACTAACACTAAGTGGCATATAATGTCGAGGGGAAAGACTTTTTTTTTAAATTAATAAAAACATTAGTCTGGTACACCTAAATTAGGAATCACCTTATTAGAAAATAGTATTTATTTGTGTGCAATTCAATTTCAGAATAAATTCTGTCTTGCTGTTAAAGCATCAGAGGTTTCAGAGAGAACGTTACATAAAAAAGAAGAGTTTTAAATTACCCTGAACTCAATATCCTCAGTGAACATGGTGATGGCAGTATAATGCTGTGGGGATTCTCTTGTAGTGCAGGGACAGAGAAGTTTGTCAGATTCAAACTATGACAGACGGATTTTGAACCAAGTGCAGTGATCGCTTAGAATTTCCCAGATCCAAATGAAATTGATAACTTCTGGTTTGTCTGAAAAACTAATCTTTATGGAAACTCTGAGTCCAGTTCGAATAGGATCAAATTTTATGAAAATATTAATAACAATAAAAAGCCAAGCATTTCCTTTTATGGCTTATCAGAAAATCACAATAAGTAGGAATATGTATATATCTTTCGAAGGATGGACTTTAGCCAGGCACAGGGAACCTCTTGACATATTCAGTGGTGAGGACACTTCTACTAATATGCTAATAGCAGAACTAATTTTCCATTTAGCACTTTAGCGTTTCTTTGCTAACTTTGAAAACATTTAGCGCACCACCCTTTCACAAATTACTGTTAGCTTCCACTTCCAATGTTGGTGTAGCACTTTAGTGATAGTAGAACTAATATTGATAAGTGATTGAGGTTAGTGCAACTAATGTTTTAGCTAGCGGTGACCACAGCTGGAAATATTGTTCCTCTTTCTCAACATGCTATTTATTTTTCAGCTTAAAATACTTTTCCACTGAATGGTGTAATGATTACGGTGGATCTTAATAAGGAGTATAGACCTCGTCAAAGTCTCCCCGCACAATGTGGACATCGCCAGCGAGAGTTTTCAGGTAGTCGTAGCTCTCCTTGGTGCAAAGGTTGCCTGTGCAGAGATGTGCTGGATCTTCCCCGGGACCAGCAGTTCTTGAACTTGGCTGGCAACGTGTTGCACCGGTGGGGAATGTGCAGGTCACCTAACACCAAAACCAACTAATGTCGCACAAACACACACAAAAACCAGTTAGTCACCCATGAATGAACGAAGGTGTCCGAGGACCGCAAAAGAACATAGTCCAAGGACAGAGCCCTGCAGGGTGCCATAAGTCAAGCTGTAGCAGAAAACAATGGACATAAACGGCACAATAACCCCTCCTGTATACCCTCATTAGTTGTCATTAACATTTTTCTTACAATAGAATAATGCAACCATTTTTTTCTTGTACTGAAACACCCAGTAACCTATTAGAGCTGATTAACACCTCACTCAACCCAATCAAATCAGCTATATTTGTAAGTACAATTCTGAACATACAATGTGTCTGAATTCAAACTGGCTTCTGAATGTCACTTCATGAAGAGTTTTTAAAAAGACAAAAGTTAAAAAAGACAAAAAAAGTTAACTGATTACGCACAGCTGGACTTCAGACACTCAGCGACAGACTAGAGAGATGTCTACTGTTACCAAACACAGGAAGTGACACACAAGCATACATGAGCTACTGCATTACAAAGGGATAGTTCAAGATTTTCTTCTACGTGAGGTTTGGTTAAAAGGTTTAAAAATGTAAATCTTGCCTGCACTAGATAGCTCTTGAGATTTTCATTGAGCATAAATCCATATTTATTTGTTTTATAGGTTTGATCAAAGAGGATATCGACCAATAATTTTTCAATGTCAAAAAAGTGCTAAGAACAGAGATGATGCTTCTCGGTGCATAACTACCCAATATGAACATGACAGTCTGAAGCCTCATGAAATATCATGTGCAGAAAAAAATTACAAGTCGTTTTGTTGATGGTGGGACTGCACTTTGACCCTGGCTCCTCTAGCCGCTGCCTTCCAGAACCAATTATCTGGTGAAGACCTCAAGAGAGTTACCTATTACAGGTAAGATTTTAACTGGGCGACACATGAACAATCCTAAAATAGACCTGAATACTAACAAAATGCCTACATCCTACAGTATACAGCTGTATAACTGCTGCAGTGGGTGCAAATTTATCCTCTTAGTTTAGAGCTCAGGTGAGTAAAAAAAAAAAAGTGTACTTATTTATGTTGAAAATCTGTTTATTTGGTTAACAGAAAATAAAATCTTGTGTCACAGGGATGAGTCGTACCCTCTAACAGAAAGCTAAAAGGAAAACTTTGGGATGCACCAACAAACTCAATATTCTAGTATCACTATTTTCTAGAGAACAAAACACACACAGTTCTATAGAGGATTTCTCGATAGAACTTAAGTCCAAATTACTCAAATTTGAGTGAAGGTTAACTAAACCTGAGTCCTTGTCCAGCAGAGTGCCTAGAAACAGACCTGAGTCATCTATACTTATATGGCCTTTCAAACACCTTTACCAGGAGTGGCAACTAATTCGTCCACATCTATATATTTGGGATAACAACACAAACCAAGCGTTTGTCAGCATGAGTTCAATTCACAGCAGTTCTTGAAATAACAGTGTCTCGTTCTGCTAAAAAGGAAAACAAAAACAAAACGAAACAACAGCAAATGTAGCATACAAAAGTTATCAAAACAGTTTAAAAAAAAAAAAAAAAAACCGAAAAAAAAACCCAAAACAAAACATATGATCAGTAAGGGAAGGAGTTTGCCTGTACCATATTATTGTTAAACTCTTCTGAATATTCTAGAAACTCCTTGGTACCTCAATTCATATGAATCATCACAAACAAAATGTAATGCATGACGAAACCAGGGCTATTTGACAGTAAACTATCAACATCAAAAAGCTTGTTGCTGTTTCTGAAACACATTCTGAAGCAGATCGTGTAAAGAAAAGCACAAAACGGAGCGAGCGGAAAAACTCACTGCAACAAAAGAGACGACAAAACACAGAATGCCGATTCCTAAATGAAGAACCTGGAGTTAAGACAGACCGCTACATATCACACACAAGCTGAAGAATATTGAGTCAGACAAAAACAAAACCAACCCCAAAACACAACCTGAGAATGCATGGCTCAGTTATGATAAAGGTGCAGGAAGCAGTCTTTGAAAGTTCGCATTTTTACAGAGGACCTTTTTTTTCTTTGTTGAAAAATTCACACCTGAATGAAAGCGATTTAGAGTAGATGTGGTTTGGTCTTAACGTAATGTGTTTTATCGACACGTTTACAAACTTTACATGTGTCAGGTTTGTGCAGCTGCTTGCAGTTCAGCTGCAGCAGAAGCAGGAGAAACAACAGGAACGCAAATATGAGGGTTTAGACTTGGGTTTGGGTGAACCTCCAGGTAAAGCATCCAGAACTTCTGTGATTTGACCTTCTGAAAGACCCTTCCACTTCAGCAGTTTGGGTATGAACTCCATGTCCTCACTGTGAACAGTAAAAGTAAAACCAGGTCAGCAGTGACATACAAACTGGTTTTCCATTACAAATGTGTTCAAAACTTTCTCGATATTCTGCCAATGTTGAAAAAACAATTGAGGTGTTTCCACTGAACTAAAAGCGATTAATATCACACGCAAATACGTTTGTTTGTGAGATCATTAAAAATCAGGCAGCGCCGTGATTCTTCTGTCGTCTTCTTCTTCCTTTTGCTTTACATCAGTGGCGACATTCGGTTGTTGATCATGTGACTCGTGTGATGCGAAAGTAGCGTTTCCAAAACTTTTGATCAGTTTTTCCAAATTTGTGCGTTTCCATTAAACAAATTTATTTTCAAAATGTCAAGTTGCAAAATTACACAGTCAATAGGAATGCAGCGAGACACCGCCTTTAAAGCTCAAATGATCATCAGTCATGAGTGCCAAGTTTCTGTCTATTTTTGATGGAACATGAGAGAGGGATTCAGATTTAATGCAGATATTCTGCTGTTTGGTAGGAATGGCTGGAAAGACGAGCAGTTCGGCTGTGGAGATTTATCTGGAGGTGAGATGGACTTTCACTCATGTCGATGTGTCAAAGAGCGAGTCTGAGGTTTAACTGTAGGTCAGACGAGTAAAAAAGTAATGAATTTTTGCCTTATAATGAATGGGGGATTTTTTTGTGCTGGGGCGGTTTATAGAGCCAGTAGAGATACAAATGGCAGTACGGTATTTTGCAAAAAGTGAATTTACCACAGTATGTCCCTTTACAGATGGTTGAATGAAGGACTGGAACTGAAAAGGTTTCAGACAGAGATGACCTCTATGACCTAACAATCACCAAGTGTTTCTGAACTGGGAACTAGAGCTTCAGTAAACTCAAAGATTGTTGGCATTGTTTACATATATTGAAAATAAAGAATTAATCGAATATTGAACGCTAAACTAGTACAATCAGAAACCGGTTTACCTCTGCTTCCCAATGTCTTCTTGTTTCAATGCAATGGTGAGCTTGACTGAGGAGAGGTCCTTGCAGTTTAACACCTCGTGGATCAGTAGTAGCAGGTGATTCCACTGCTGGACACCAGGAGCCTGGTACAAATTGTACACGTGAGGAATATATGATCAGACTGAGACATCGCTGTCTGCAGTGACGTCCTGAAATGGTGGACTCACCAGATCTGAGATGGTGGCATGAAGCTCATCGGCATCCTCCTTGACTGCTTTACCAACATCAGAACTCCATTGCTTTTCAGTACAAGCTGACTTTTTAGGAGGAGATGGTTGAGGTAAGAGTCAGCAACAACCTTATAAACCTCATTCATCACCATCTGGGGCGGGCAGAGGGAGAGAAGCATTTTACCAAACATTCAGACACAAATCTATTAAAAACTGATTGATTTTTTAGTGTAAATGACATAAATAATAAGCAATTAGCAATAATGTACTTTTTTCATCAGGAGGAACTTCACAAAAAGATGGTCTTACCATTTGTTCATCCACAGCATAAGGCAGCTTGGGAAACTGATGCCGCAAGGAGTCAAACAGCTCACAGTGTCTTTCACCAGGCTGGTGGAGTAAAGACCTCCCACTTGGCTTGCTGGGAGATCTGAAGTAATCCTTCAGACAGCTCTACAGGGCAAAAAAATGCGTTTTAAATGTAAAATAGTTACAGAATGTTTTCTGTGCTCCCATTTTGTTTTCATGTAAAATAAATGTAGTCACTGCAAACTGGTACCTCAGCAAGTTCGGTTGCAATTTTCTTTATAAGCTCCAGAGTGCGAGCCTCCAACTTTTGAAGTATTTTCTTTGTTTTGTCAACAGAGCCTGCTTTAACGCTTCCTTCAGCCCGGATGTGCTGCCTGAAACCAAGCAAAATAAGTCATCTCAAAATCAGGGCATCCCCCTTTTCTTATACAGACTAATGCACTTTGGCCAATTCGTACATTTATTGTTTAATTTTTTCACACTCCATCATTAAAATCACATTAAGCTTGTCATTTTATTAGCCCAGTTAAGATAACTAAACTCATTTGTAATTGCTGAATACCAGAACAATTGTACATCTTTCCAAGAATTCAGATCGGGGCTTTTCCATTTGTGCTTTAGCCACTAATATGGCAGCTTGCTGAGGGTCAAAGTTCATTTGAAAGACCCATTTGTGCCTGAGCTTGAACTTTTCCTCTCTTATGTCTTGGATGATTTTGTCCACTGCATCAGAAACTCATGTACTTTTTAGTTTTACTTGACGAATATTATTATGAAAGTATCTTTATTCTTACTTGAGTAAACTGTCTGGTTACATTACCAGACTGTGAGTAACTTCTCTAAAAGAAGAACACACAAGTTTCAACCAAAAGTGCAGCAGACACACAGCTACAGTTTAGGTTAAAATGAGAAGTCTTGTTTGAAGTTTTCTTGTTCTGATGTTAGTTTCTATCTGCTAAAGCTGCTGAGATGTTTGAAGGTCAAAAAACAGCAAAAAAAGAAACAGGAATTCTTATATTTTGTCACTTTACCCTGCCCTACCATGCATATATACTATGTACTGTATTTAATAAGCTTTATATTGAGTAAAACATATTTGGAAAAGTCTTTATTTTGCCTTAATTAGTAACTCGTGTTCATTTGTCTTTGTTTTTCATTTTACTTTTTAAAAACTTTACACTAAGCTTTATGTTTTATCTGTGTGATGACATCATTTTAAATCAATAAATCAGTAACATCTTCTCTTACTTGAGTCACTTTGAGGGTGGGTAGCCTCAAAATGACAATTTTCAACTGAAATAGAGTGACTTAACCATATGAGGTTATGGAGCCATGACCTCATTCCAAATTATTAGAGGCAGAGTGTTATATTTGGAATTTTGTAAATAGAAATAATTTTCAGTAGTTTTAGCTGTCACACAACAGGAAAAAAATGTTTAGTTTGACAGTCAAACAGAAAAAAAGAAAAAAACAATCTTGAAACACCCACCGTAGCTCTTTACATGTTCTCAGAGTCTTCAGGAAGTGTATGCTTTCTGGCTTTCCCCTCCATGCTTCAGCTTTTTTACAGAGTATCTCCTCTTGCTCTGTGTTGTACCTACAACAAAAAAAAAAAAATTATGCAGCATTGACAATTCACTCGATTTTCAAATGATAGTAGCGCCATTCTGATTTCAGTGTAAATTTATAGGATATGGTTTCTGAGGCAAACAGTTTTATTTCTAGATGCCATTAAATTAACAATCTGTTTTAAAATTCAAAACATCTCACCTTTCCACAAAACTCTGCAGCTCTTGAAAGCAAACCTTTTTCACCTTATTACTCAGTAATCTCTTCTGTACTAATTTGGGCATGGCATTAGTACACTGAAGAGAAAGAGAGAAAAAGAAAGACCCATTATTAATTAAGGTTTGACAAGGTTTTATTAATTAATGTAAGATAAATTGGAAAAAGTTCACTGTAGCATGAATAGTTTTACAAGGTACAGTAATCATGCTACCAAAAGACAAGTATTGCAACAGCTAAATACAACTACATACACTTAAATACCCAGGCTTGTCTTACCTGAATAACGTCCACATAAAGCTGAGCGTAGGCCTCCTCGCTGTAATCCATCTGTGTTCGATCAGCATCCAGGATTTTTCTCAGGGAATCTATGACTTCCACCTGCAGACGTACACAATCATGAGACTAAGTGACCAATAGAAGCTTCCACTTCCACTCTGGTGATTATGAGGTTTTGATACAGTGTAAAGATCATTTTGTGTGTGTGTGTGGGCATGTACGTGTGTGCGCAAGTAACATTTCGCTGATTGATTCCTACCTTTACTATCTCCAGCAGTTTGTCCTCTGTTTTTAATTCCCGTTCATCCAGTAGACCAAGCTCGGAGTGATCAAGCTGATCCTTCCTATGAAAGAATCAAAACAACGGGGATGCAACATGTGTATATCTAAAAAAGCTTGGGAAATACATTTACGCAAAAATAAAAAGTGATTCACAAATAATTTATTGAAAGTATCTATACGTTCACATAATCATCGCTATACTGAGTTATTTCACAACTATCAGGTCAGGATCTCATGCAGGCATGTAAACCCGTGTCGAGTCGACACACCTTTTTACATTCACATGCAGTCTCTGAAGGCCTGCGTGATAAACCTGCTATTTAACATGGGCTGAACCAGGAGAGACAATGGTAAAAAGGAAACCTTACAATTACTTCTGCAAATAGTTTTATTGACAGGCAGGTTTACAAAACCAGCATGATCAAATAAACAAGACATGATGTGCTAGTTCCTAATCTTCAACTATTTCATTTGTTGTCAGATTCAATTTGTCTTTCCCATTCGCCTGATAGCAAACAAATGCTCTAGGGTGGTCCTAGAAAAAGTAGAACATGTTTGGAAACTCTCCTTTAACCACCTTTAACCATGGATTTATTTTCACTGTCGAAAATTTCCTAGTTCTATAGAAAAACTATAAAGATGGACGCCTGGCTGTTCACTGTGTAAAGTCACAGTGAACATTTGAATTAAGCCCCAGTCTGTTCTTTCTAAAGTACTACATTGATCTTTAGATCGGATCTTTGTTTATTAACATACAGAGGAATATTAATCTCCATGAAGTTGTAACTGTGAAATATTGCCTTTTCGGGACAGTCAGCTATGTGATCCATACTCGGTCGCTTATTTGTGTTCAAAAAATTCCTGGGACAAAAGAAAAAAAAAGAACATAAGAAGTGATTCACATTGTTGTCAAAACAAAAAGTGGGAAAACATTAATGCAATATAAGATTTTGAAATATTTTAGAAAGTTTTTTTCTCAACAATAGGTAGATTTATTAATTTTTGAAGTTGTTTCCTGATTTTTTTTTCTATTATTATTTACTTGAAACTCTTGTCAACTCAGAAATTGAAGCACAAGGTTTTATATTCCAGATTAAACAAAGACTCTTTGTGCTGGGAGAAATATATTTAGCCTGTGGATAAAAGGAGTGTCAGGATCCCATGTTGTTTTAAGTATTCGTTATTTGCATTTAGATCATTTGTTTGTTTGTCATTAGTCATTCTTTGTTTTCTGTCTCTGTATGTTATATGTCACCGGGTTAGTTGGTTCTTCTGTATTTAGGTCATTCTTTATCGCTGCTAGATTTGTTTATTCCCTTCCCCACTCATCTTGAGGCACAGATTGTTTTTTACAGTGTATGAGCACATGAATACGCACCTCTGTGAGATCCAGTTGGTCAGGATTACACAGCTCTTGGTGGTGGTGATGTTCTGGAGCAGAGCATCAATGTGAGTACGAATCTGGCAGAGGAAGTCATCTCCAGATGTGACGTGATTATTTTTGATTATTTCGTCTACTGCTTCCAGATGCTGATCCAGATGTTTTCCCAGGTCTGATGGAAGTTCTGGGAAGCTCACTTGCTTGGAACTCTGAGTTCGCTGCTCACTGCCTAAAGTGTCATCAGAACACACTGGACGAAGCTCCTGCGAGAGCTGTCGTGTTGCAGATACAGGGCCTAAAAGTTCAGAAAAAGATTCTTAAAATGTGACAATTATCGTCAGCATAACAGCTCTCTCTCTCATTCTTTTTGAATTTGTCTCATTTTAACATCTGAAAATATTTATAGTATTATAAACAACATTTTCTGTGGAATGGTTCTGAGTATATCCCAGTCATTCAAGACTAGCAGGTTTTAACTGTCACTATGTCATGACTGTACGGTATGAAACAGAGAGCATTGAGTTGCAAAAACATATATTTGGGAATTTGTCTGTTTTTTGTGTGTGGTTTTTTTTTTTTTCATGAATCCACTGAATCCAAAAATGACATTTTTTTCAATCAGGTCAGGCTTTTATTCTAATTTGATTTGGAGAAATCTGATCTTCTGACTAAAAAATGTTTGTCAATGTGTGTCAATGTTTTCTTATCACATCAGTCAGATAAAGTAGAATTATTGTTCATCATGCAATAGGAATTTCATCACCACTCAGTGTAACCTGGTTGAATTTATATGTTGTTATAATTACTCAAAATGTTTTTCTTTGGTTATTTGTATGGGTTCCTACCTGACTGAAAATCTCTGTTATTGTTTTAACTGTGTTACTTTAAGAACGGAAGCCCCTCCCCTTTTGTTTCTTCCTCTGTGGTATTGTCTTTAAAATGTTTGCGTCCCTTAGACCCTACCCTTTTGTCATGTTGCCCTGTGGGAGAGGTGTGTTCTATTTATTTTGTATCTAAATACATCCAGTTTTATTTATAGATTTATTAAATGAATTTCTGTTATGTACTTTTGTTTATGTAGGGCTTGGAGCGGGCAGCCTGTAACACGGCTATTTCCTATTTGTTATTCTTGTCGGAATAAACCCTTTTAAAGGTGAACCACGGCCTGATCATTTAAAACCAGCACAACGCAGATCGGATCCGGTTACATCAGCATGAATAACAAACCCTCATCTCCTCCTGTTTGCAAATGTACATTAAACAGTGGATGTCAATAGTTTACTCTATTGTTAAGTTTTAACAAAAGTTATGTTTTTAATTCATTTCAAAACCTTTTCATTACATGTCACATTTATCCTTTGTACTTTCACCTTTTAGCATAACACTTTTGTCCATTAATCAGGGTTTAAATGTGTGTTTTTCTGTGTGTTTTTTTAATATGTTAAAAGTTAGAACTGAGATTCAGCTAAAGAGCAAACAAATCGTTTCGAGGACAAAAAGGTGTGCCTTAAACACTGAGGACATGTTAACCCATGCCCATTCTTTCTGCTCAGTTCTTCGACTCTCTCAGATGATAAGACAGGGGAATATTTTATATATTGTTTGGGTGCATCGAAAACCCAAACAATCACCGACAACTGATCTTTTGATCTCTCGATTCCGATTTTGGCTGATACCACGTTTTTTGACTGAATTGTTGCTCAATATAGCAAAAAAGTTGTTGAGTTGGTAGGGTCACTGTTGTCATTTGTAAATGTGCAGTCATAAATCTGTCAATTAAACCTTTCTCACCAGAGACGACAGCGGCAGATTCTTACACATTTACGAAGCTAGACAAGACTGGTGGATAAGATCAACTTATGTGAAAATCAACATGTAAAAATCAGTCGATCACAGATCTCCCAAAATTAAGAAATCGACAACGATAAATCGGCGGCGGCAGATAATTTATTATTATTCATGTATTTTGAACATGATAGAAGTATGAAATCAACAAGGAATGCAAAAGACATATTTGTACCACAATAATCTTAATATATATGTCTACATTTGCGCAGTAAGATCATGTTGACCCAAGTTATTACCAAAGGATTGAAGAAAGTCATAAAATATCAGCTGAGCTTTAGGGCTAATCAGATTCTCTATGAATTAGTTGTTAATCTAAGTTTCTGTAGAGTGCTGCAACAGAAGCTCTGTCATGTTCTATGATTTTCTGTGTTCCTTTTGAGTTTCTGTTTTCTCCCTCTTGTCCCGTCTTCCCCCTTGATTGCTCCCAGGAGAGTCTCGTTCCCTCCCGAGTATTTAATGTCACCTGCGCCTCAGCGTCCTGGTTCGGTTCGGTTTAGTTTTGCCAGTGCTGACCCCCAGCTTTCCGCTCAACTGCGCTGCCAGATTGTCGGACTGTCGGACTGAGTCTTTCTCACCGCCATTCACCCCCCACTATCTGACAAGATCCTTCCTATCGCCATGTCTGTTTACAGAACAATGATGAAATGCATAGTTTTGAACTGATAAGGCAAAAATATTCTTTTACGTCACGACATGCTAAATAGCGTGGCGCCAGGGAAACAATGCAGATATTATATATTTTGTATTTTCAGGTCGCTTCGATTCAATCACATTACATGACAATTTATTTATTTTTTTAAACGAATATTTAACATTCAATTTGGAAAATAAACACAGTTGAAGCGCGTGTGCCTTTCTTGCTGTTCTTAAATACATTTTTTAGTACAACGAGTCTAACTTGATAGTCAACAGTAGCTTTTCACGGTGTTATGAAAAGGCGTCGTTAGAAATGATACCAGCTCTCACTCACCGTCATAGTCGTTGTTCTCCATTAAAGGCTTGGTGCTGTTCATTCTTGCCACCTTTTTCTTGCCCAAAAACTTCTTCATGTTTTTCGTCCCTTTTTGTCCGTCCCGGGATGACTTCCTGTGAGCTCGTGCGCCGGGTGGTTGTGACGCGGCTCGTCTGGGAGCCTTTATTTATAAGCCCTTGGTGAGCGGAG